GCAACATTGCTATAATGTTGCACTGCAATCTCTCTGAGGGCGGACATTTCAACGTTGCTGCAATCCTCCAGAAACGTTGCAGCAATGTTGCGCAACGTTGCTGCAATATTGCAATCTTGCAACGTAACATTTCTGCAATCTTTCTGTGCTGTGTGGGTTGGTCAGCGGTTTCCCCCTCGAGTAAACCGCTGATGGCATTGTGGTGTGCAGATTTGCGGCATTACTGGACATTATAGTTTGGGCATTAGGCCTTGCTGGGGCATTGTAAAGATAAAATATGATAAAACAAGATAATAAGATAAAAGTAATCCCCACTGGGCATTAGTGGACATTGGTGTACATGATTTTGGTCGGCGGTTTACCCTCGGTAAATATATTTTTTTTTAAATCGAAAGAAGATTCGGCGAAGCAACTAAAGCTGATTGCGTACTGTTTGCGTTTACTCGGCTATTATCTTTGTACTTTGGCGTAACAAATTATTTTCAATTTTAATCGAGATCCTCGTATTAAAATATTATCTTTTATCCGTTAAACAATTTAATCATACTTACTTCTACTTAATGTTCTTTTTATATTAAAATATAAAATTGCAACAAGAATCTTGGAACATCTTACGTTGCGTACATTATAAATCTTATTAACAAAAAACTTGTTACCAAGTTAACGAGTAAAAAAAAACACGTGAAAACTTAAATAATTTCGACCAGTGTCTCACGCTGATGATATCTGATTACTTAGTTGATTTTTTTTCAACCAAGATTGCCGTTGTTTTCTATTCACTTATTTTTATTTTTTGTAAAAATATCGCGTGATATTTGCGGCACATTGATTGACCCTTGAATGATAGGTCACTTTTGGTAGCGAAGCGATATAAAAGCTTAAACGTTTGCGTCAAGTATTTCTACTTAATTTCTAATCTTTCCAAATAACGTAGATAATCTATCAATAACAAAGCTCGTTAAAAAACTAGCAGCCCCATCGAGCGACAAATTGGATGCATTGGATTTATGGAAGATGCATGTCACCCTTTCCTCAGATCTATTTTCAGCAGATCTTCCGTTTAAAATAAAAGGATTTACGTCTAACGCCTATGAAGCTGCGACAGCACAGCGATAGAACGAACAATAAGGGCGTCTACGTGAGACTCGATAAAACACTCACTTTCTTCAGGATGCTTGACGGTGGAGAAGCAGCCGTCCGCCGACAGGTACAGCAGTAACGCGCCGTTCGCCGGTAGCTCTTTGAAGCCACTCGCGAGGAACACTTGCACCTGGCTGTAGGTCGGCTTGTACAGCAGGTACTTGTGCGGATTGTCGCGTCTCGGCGCGCCGTTCTCCGGTCCAGGATAGGGCCCGGGTCTGAAGGGCATCCGGCCGGCCGGCGAGGCGTCGTGCAAGTGATTCGGGTCGTCCCTGGGCTCCCGCTCGAGTGTCTGCAGCATTCTGAACATGTCCATCGACAACTCACTGAACTTCACCTGATCGGTACAATTGCCGACTATTAGGATCTCTTGGAGAGATAGGCACATGGGTGGCGATCGTTCGACGGGCGGGCAGGTCTGCGGACCGAGCCTGTGGGTCAGCACGATGGGGTTCGAGTCCGAGTGCAGGACGCCGAACGCGGACTCGGCCTTGACGAAGGCCTTGATCTCGTCGAGGACGAGGTTCCACTCGAGCTGATCGTCCGGCTCGTAGGTGCTGGTGTAATCGGCTATCTGGTCGTCGAGCTCCTGCACGAGCTCTCGCACGAGCTTCATACGGTTCAGCAGGAGGCAGACGACAATGAAGCGGGCGTAGTACCTGAGCTTCTTCACCATCAGGTCGCTCCTGTCCTCCTTAGCAGCGCGGCTGTAATAGGCGCGACCGCGTATCGCTGCGTAGAACGAGTAGGCCTCGTGCAGGTAGCTCGTCTCGCTGGTACGTAGATAGTAGTGGTAGTAGAGCTGGCCGATCTTGCTGGCGATCTCGCCGATCTGCCACCTCTTGAGGCCGTACTTCGTGTCCAGTATCATTCTGAAAACAAAGCGTGGCTATACACGTGAGCGCGCGCACGTGTTCACGCACGCACCTTCGGTGCGCGCTGAATTTCATTTCTTCAATCAGCGAATTACCACCCAATTCACAAATTTCTTTCTTTCTACATCCTCTCTCATCATCATATACGCGATTAATTTAAATATATATACAATTAACGTGGTTTTGGTTTTCGGCGACTTTTTTATCGTCTCCGAAATACGTGTTTCCATTTGGAAAAAGATATTTCTATGTAATAATAGCTTGAAGCATATTTTTCTTAAGAGAATGCCAACACTTGCAAAATGTATGATACTTTATAGCGAAATAAAATTAATAATTTAAAGCGTCTTGAATATTTTCATTTCAAACGTGACCAAAAATCGTCCAATTGAATATTGCGTCAAACTTGTATCACTTGGGCAGACGTCGGTTTCACCAAACGTCGCTTAACTTTAATTTTACTTCAATTCATGTTTGTCTCTTTCTAAAGTAACAGTTAAATTACGTTAAGCTTAAAGTTGAACAGCGTTGGTGAAACCGGACCTTAAAAGACTAATCGTCGTAAAAATCAAAATGCAATTTACTATAATATGCCCGACAATAAAATAAACGCTTCAATTGTGACACACCTACCCGCACAAGTGGAACAAGCCTATAGTAGTTGGAAGCATCAATGGAGTATTCATTAACAACGGAGAATGAGGCTTCCTTTGTCTCCGCTTCTCAGTTTACCGCGGACTCGCTTATTACGTACGTATTACACGATAATGTAATTAGCGTGTAATGAAGCGACGACAGGCGCGGGAGACACAAGCGAAACTTTTTCCGCTAATATGTAATACTTGAATGAAGACGAGTTACGCGGCGAACGGCGAGCGGTGCGAACGGAAATGAGATTTACTCGTTCATTCTAACTGGCGAGATTGCCTGGCGAACAAGTACAAAGTTGGAAGCGCGAGCCCACGAGGACTCGGCCACGTGGACCTCGCCACGTAGAGACTTTTGTCTCGTCATCGTCGACAAAATCGCCGAGATCGGCCGTCGTGACACTCGCGAAACGTTCGCGTGCCAAAAATGTATCGTACACCACGTTCAAACGAGCGACAACGTGCGATATTTTCGACGATGGCCATAATCTTGCGGCATGTGGAGCGCCGCTACCGTCGCGCCGAACACGCTTGTTTCTACTCGATCGAGAGCGATCGGCTCCACGGACATGGAGGCCGTCGCTGAAGAAATCGGCGGGAACCGCTGAATCACTCGCGTGCGAATTTACAAGATCGAGACCCAACGCGACTCTACGCCGTGAGATATTTGGAGCGGACAGTCCCACGCGTTCCACCCCAACGAACCGCTTGGAGACCCTGGTTTTCCGGCAAAGTACCTCGGGAAATCGTTACCAAGTGTGCTCCAAGAGATCGGAGAGGCCTCGTCACAAAGTTACGTACTTCCCTCGCTTTCTCGCGATATATACAAGCAGACGCGTCACACGCGCGCACGCTCTCCCTCTCTTTCTTGCCACCCTTATCTTTATCGCTCACCTGTGCTGCTGCTGGAACTTCCAGAGCTTCGTGTAGACGTCGAAGGTCCGGTGGAAGTAGCCCTGCCACTGCTTGTGCCCGTATTGCGGCAGGTCGCGCAGCCCGTTGAACAGCTGCTTGCTCTTCTCGAGCAGGTGGCAGAACTCGAGGACGACTTTGCGCTCATGGTCGTCCATGCCAGCCATCATGACCATCTTTTCGGCGAGTCGGGACCGCGGTCGGACGCTGGCTGGACGCCCTTCTCGACGGCACGGTCGCGGCTGGCCCGCGTAATGGCGCCTGGCGATTCCGCCACCCTTTTGCACGGCGCCTACGACGACGGCGACCACGGCGACCAATCAATACTCTCGCCCACCCCGCATCAGGGGGAGCAGCGTGTGCGCCACCACCGCCGCTGCCGACGCCGTCGTGACGCCTAGCGTCGACGTCGACGAGCGGAGGCGGCGGAGGCGGCGGTGGCGGCGGCGACGCCAACCGCAGCGACCACCCTCCTGGACATCTGTGCGAGCGACGGCGAGGCTTCGGGGTGTCCTCGCGAATCGATATTCTCCCTTTGAAGGGTAAAACTGACGTTGCTGGAGGTAAATGGTTCTTCTCCAAACCATCGTGTCTACGCGCAATATTTTTATATCAACGTTACGATATAAGTTGTGTGATTGTTTGAATAAAGCGCACCCTTCTCTGGCCTTGAATCAAGTACGTGACATTTTGTTGAATCTTCATTTTTATTAAAGACATGAAGCGAGTTATAATTGTTGAATTAAAAAAATAATTATGCTTTTTGCAAAGCAGTGCACTGTTAATAAAATAGTTCATTGAATTAGGTACTTAAGGAGTTGCAATGATTAGAGATCTATGTGTAACAAAGTCATCTGGATACTATTTGTGGACAAAATTCGCATCAAGTCCTGATTGTCCGATTGGTGGCTCAACCACCCCCGGGATCGATACACTTTTACTCCATGGTAATGCATACCAGGGGGTAACTAGCTTGGCTTGGTCTGTTACACGGTCGGTCTGATTTTACCTTTATTCAGTCACTGCAGCTCTACTGATATATCTTCAACATGATTACGTCCCTTAATCGGGATGACCAACAGAAGGATTTGGAGCGCGAAACAAGAGACACCGCGAGGTTGAAGAAGACATTACCTTCTCAGGACTAATATTTGTTATTTATAAAAAATAGATAAATTGTTATGGCGAAAGCGTGGCGCAGAGAAATGTGCGCTGCTTAGTAAGTAAATGAACGGAAAGATTCGAGTTCAAATCCAGTCGCGAACACCGCTGGTTTTTTTCGGACGCCACCTCTTAGAGGAGACCACTGAGAGTTTCCTGCCACCCCTTCCCACACAGCACAGAAAGATTGCAGAAATGTTACATTGCAAGATTGCAATATTGCAGCAACATTGCGCAGCATTGCTGCAACGTTTCTGGAGGATTGCAGCAAAGTTGAAATGTCCGCCCTCAGAGAGATTGCAGTGCAACATTATAGCAATGTTGCGGTGCAATATTTTTGAAATAATTTGTTGTTGTTGTACATAAGCAGAGAATTTACTAATTACATATGCATCCGGGCCTTTTTCAATACACAGCAAGCTATTGCGAAGAAACCTAAGAAGATTATGTCGCTTCGCAATAGATGGAGATTACGAGCAACACCGCACTGATCAAGTACTTAATAATTCGCGCATTATTGGTATCAACGAAAATAACATTATAAAATTCTCGTAATTAGAAAAAATTTTTTAATAGAAAATATAGTATTTTTATTATTTTTGAAACATTGCTGCAATATTGGTATTGAAAGTTTGCAATTTTATATCCCTGCAATGTCTCTGCAAGATTGCACTGCAATCTGCAAGATTGCAACGTTTCTGCAATGTAACTGCAACCATCTGTGCTGTATGGGTTTAGGGGTATAGTCCTCCAGATTTCCTTCGGCAAGGTTAGCAACCTACCGAAGATGAAGTAAAATCAAATGCTCTCAAAGTACCAGAACGAACTGAATAAAACAGGTTTTAAGCTTAATACGCGAGGAAGAAGAAGAAGATAAATTGTTAAAAATTCTTATTAAATGCTCTACTGATATCTTTAAAAATGATATCTTCAAAATGATTGCATTCCTCAACCGGGATAACAGAAGGAATTGGAGCGCAAACCAAGAGATACCGCGAAGCTGAAGAAGACATTACCTTCTCGAGACTAATATTTGTTATTTATAAAAACATATGAATTGTTTAAAATTCTTATTAAATGTAGAATACCCAGAGACTAATAATATCTACTTTGAATTGTAATTGAAAAGGGGTCTCTTTTCAAAAGATACTTAGGTACGAAGTTATTCGCTTTGCTTTTATCATGTCTTGAAAAAGTTGATGTTAAGTTTAACTTTCTTGCAAAAGTAAAGATAGATCGCAGGTCCAAGATTTTCTATTTTTGTTTTTCCTAGAATCGTCTAGATCTAAAGGAGTCAGCTGGTTTGTAATTTATAACTGCTGATCATCTCACATGGATCTCTGATGTGTAAAAACGGAAAAAAAATATAATTGAGACACCCGAGCGTCCGGTTATTCTACTTACGCAAATTTGTTTTAGCCGTCAAATTATACACGTTCGTCGGATTTCGAAGATCGCGTGCTCGACCGAATCGCGTTGATATATTTTCCATCGCGCGTATCCCCGAACTCCCTCGAATATCTCGCTAACTTTCTACACTCGTCCGGGCCTCTAACGAGGCCTGTCCGTTTTTCTTTCGCCGTAATTAAAATTTCTCGACGAAAGGAGGGTAACGCCAGTGAACAGGGTGCCGGAGACCAGGGGGTGGTTGTAGCCGCTCGACACTTTCGTCGCCGCGGCTCGTTACGGCGGCAGCGACGGTGGGAGTTTTACCGCCCTGCTAGTCGAGTACCGTCGTCGGCGGAGATTAATTAACTAGATAACGGTCGGTGGCTGGGAAAGAGGGCGAAGAGAGCGGATAAAAAGGATGAAAAAGGAGAGAGGGGGGGGGGGAGAGAGAGAGAGAGAGAGAGAGAGAGAGAGAGAGAGAGAGAGAGAGAGAGAGAGAGAGAGAGAGAGAGAGAGAGAGAGAGA